TTTTCCCTGCTGAATCTGAGCATCAAGTTACTGAAGGTCAATGTGGAAAAACAAACTGGTAAGTGACAAACTTTATAATCAGAAAATTTAGTATAGTGTGACCACAATCCAGCAAACACCCATGCTTGACTTTATGCACATAAGTAATCCAATGTAATGCAATGAGACTTCTAGCATGTGTAAGTGTGGTCTGCTGCTTGGCATATGGTAAAGTTCAATTATCTGAGCTTTTTATGTATGATACATTTCTTGCCTTTTTTGATAGTTGAAATGCTTGTCTGTTATTGATATGGGGGAACAAATACAGTGATCTATGTTTTAGCTCATTTTTGTAATCAGAAATATAAGTTAGGCAGTGTTTTCATTTTATATATTGCATGTTTCATATATTTAATGAATGTCTGCCTATATGTGATTTGTATGCTGGTATCTTGTGCAATGGCAGCCTAGTCATAATTCATTATGTGCATGCATGATAATAGGAGTGGGCAATAATTGGCCTGTGGTCTGGATGTGATTTGCCAAGGTTAGCCCCGGGTGAGCAGTCAGACGCTTTATTTACTGAGAACATGCTCGTAGCTTCTGTTGGCCATGATTTGCTGTTCCCAGCAAATGGGTGCTGTGAGAAGTAGTGGCCCAGCCTGCAGTTCTTCCCACAGCTCCCATTGGCCAGGAACAGGAAACTGCAGCCAATGGGATCTGCGAGTGGTCATACCTGTGGGCGTGCAGGTAAATAAAGTGTCTGTTGGACCACCAAGGACTAACTCTCTGGTGAACTGTTCCTGGCCCATGAGCTGTTTATTGCTCACCCCTACATTATTGTATAGGTTGGATTGTCATGAACTGCAAATAACAACGGGTAAGAAGACTTTTCAGCATCAATAAACCGAAATGAATGTGAAAATGTTTAAGTTGGCTGGTTGCCAGCATATAATACAGTATATGTCTGTCCCTTCTTTTTCAGAGTGTGGAAGTGGGAATATGTGATATCTGTTCCATATTTATCTCCTCTGTGTTTTTCTCTCTCATGCTTCTTTCATTGTGGTAGATTCTGATAACCTTGTTGATTAATAGCATCTTAGATCCGTGAGTGGTCCCAATGAAGTTATTGTGGCTCTCGTAGAATACTCTTCATGATGAGTAAAGATATCTGTCTGTCTATCTAACTTTTCTTTGTGTATCTGTTTGATTAATTGTTATTCAATCAAATTACTGTTTTTCATTTGGCTGTTCTTTTTTTTTTCTTTCCATAATCAGACTGGTAACACACAGCCTGCACTGAAACACTTCATTTATGGAACTACAGAAAGTCCCCAATTTACAAATGGATTATATTCCAAAAGTTTGTAAGTTTGGAACTTGGAACACACATTCCCAGAGAAACAATGTTATAAATGGTAGTTGGTTCCCAGGCTAGCCCACAAAAACCTATTTAACCCAGAATGTAGCCAAATCTAATATATAAAGGAGAATGTTTGTAAGTTTGTGCTCTAATAACTTGGACATTATAAGACCTACCGCAACCAAACTTTTCATGGGGGTAACCTTTCCTCCAGGAGAAGATTTTAAGGTACTGTGGGAGGGTGTGACAAGGGTCCCCCTCCCCCCCCAGCACTACCTCCGCCGACGGCAATGCGCTCCCAGGCCGCTGTTATTCTGGGCCTGTGGCGCTTGTGCAGAGGCAGTGTGTGGAGGACCGCTCTCATGGCACAGGCGCGCCTCAGCTGGAGTGCAAAGCAAAAGGCAGGTGGACCAGGGGAGAGCAGGGACTCCGGTGTGGAAAAGGGGAATGTTTGTAAGTTTGTGCGTTAATAACTTGGACACTATAAGAGCTACTGCAACCAAACTTTGCATGGGATAACCTTCCATCCTGGAGAAGGTTTTAAGGTACTCTTGGACCTGATTGGGGTCCTGCCCTGCCCCTCGCGGCACCTTTGGCTCCGGGCGCAAGCTGGGGCGCCTCTCCCAAGTGTAGCCTCCTGGGACTCGCCCTCTCCCACCCACGAGGTTACATAACCGACCCTCTTTCTCCTCCCCCACCCGCTGGCATGCAGTGCCCTCGCCCCCATGCGCACAACGGCTCAGGCACCTGCTCTGCCCCCTGCGGCACCTGAAGCCCTGGGCACAAGCTGGGGCACCCCTCCCGTGTGTAACCTCCCCTCCACCTGGGTTCACTTCCCACCTGCCACCCCCCTCCCTCCGGAAACCAAAACTAAAGCCGGCCAGCCTTTCTGCTCAGCTCGCTTTAAGTTTGAATGCTGGTGCTTGAGGAGAGGAAGGTTTAATGAGAGAAGGATGAGATGGTAGGTGGAGATTCGGAAGAGGACTTCTGGGCATCCCCTGCCCATTCACCTCCCCTGTGACTGGGCTCTGCACCAGCTCCTCTGGCCAGTTGCCCCTTTTCACGAGCTGCACCCAGTCCCCACTCAAGAATAGGTGGCAAGTGGCATGGGCGAGGAGCAAGGGGCAGCTGTGCAGCTTATGACTGGAGAGAAGTGGCAGTTTCCTTTTCAAAGCACTGCTTCTCTCCAGCTGCTGACTGTGCAACCACTCCTGTACCTCTGGAGTCCTCCAGCCAGTCCTCCAACTTGTGCTATTTGCTACCACCTGTGTCTCTTGCTTGTTTCCTGAGGCCAGGACAGTCCTTACCCATATGCAGAATACACAGCTGCATAGGACATCTGAAAAGTTGGTGCGCCACTGGGTCTTAATGTCCACCCAACCCTTCTTATCCCTATTCTGCAGCTCTGCGTCCTCCATGATCTAGTTAACTTAAAAGTGAGAGAACCTGCCAGACTTATTAGCAAAACATTGAACCTGGGAAATAGCTATTCAAATAGTAATGAAACCATTTAATAGGCATTTGCCAACCCCAGATATATACTTTCAGTTTCTGAATTTAGTGCTTTAGTCTTCAGGACCTTAGCTTAAAATTTGCTTTAAAAATATTCCATTAGAGTATTGCTGAACATTATAAAATCATATCTCTAAAAAAATCATCAATTCCATCTTCCCCAGGCTGCCATTATAGATATAAGGACACCAGTTTAATAGTACTGCTTAATAGTACTCCATAATTCCTAAGAAAGTCCCTGCCTGAGGTTGCAGGGGAGCTTTTACTTATATGTATGGATGTTCTTAAGTTGGATGTTTGTTGCTTGGGGAGTGTCTATATATAGGACTCCATGGTTCTAATCAATTTCAGACTGTAGCCAGTGTGCCAATGTTAAAGTAGTTTTGTAAATTAACATAGCATTCAGTTAGTTCATTGTAATCCACAGTGTGGATACTTGAACTGATCAGAGAACATGGTGGTTGTCTAAGTATGTGTAGTGCCATTGTTATGAATAAGACTTTAATTGTGATTTGTTAAAATAATATAACAAGTTTTTGATTCTAGGCTTGTGGGACCAATGACTTTCTTTATCAGTGCTTTTGCTGGAAGTGAAAACACAGAAAATCAATTTGGTGTCAGATTTCTCTTTCTCAAGGAGAATGAAACTTTGATATTTGTGTTTCTACATTGAAGGGTTTAGCAAGAAATGAATTTCAATAGAAATTATTTTTATATTGTTGTAAATGGAATAATTTTGTGAGGTTTTCCCCTTCCCTCCTTTTCATGCAGTAAATATCTAACATCATGGGCACAAAAGCTGAAACAAAACCAACCGAAAAGAACAAATATGGAAGAAGGAGGGTACATGCATTCTGTGCAAGGAAATGAACAAGCAAAGAAATTAACATTTGAGAATGTAAGGTGATATTCTGTTCCTTCCCAGAATGTTTCTATTTGGATGGTCAATAAAACCTTTAAGTAGGAGTTACTTTATTCAATGTGTACTTTTTGTGAGTGATCTTGTACTTTACCAATGTTTGTATTGTATTATACCCAAAAATCTCTTCCTGAAAACATAGGGCCTAATGTGAGGTGAAGTTCTACAGAGCTGAGGACACTTAGCATTTCCTAGGAGCCACTGTACACCCTTCCTTTCATATTAGGTCTTTTAGCAGCTGGGAACAACCAACCATTTTTATTGGCTTTTTATAATAAAACTCATGGCAGTTTTTCTGTTTTCAAGTATTGGTTGATACAAGCAAAAGAAACTGTGTCAATGCCCATAAATGGCATCACTAAAATAAACTGCCCCATGAATCCTACAGTATAAAGTGCTAACCCTTACCTATGAGAGATTTTTGGGTTAGATGTTCAAAACAACTTTGTACCTAATTATTATGGACTTTATGTTTTTGTGCTGTAGCTCAAAAGTTAAAATGTTGCCTTTTCTTTTAATGTTCTTTATGCTGTCTGTCCAGAATGCATTCACTCTTGTACTGCCACCCACTTTTATACAAGTGCCAATTGGCATGAAACTTTCAACTTTAAAAGAGCAATATGCAGCATAATAATTTACGTCAAATCTCAGAATCTGGTCAGACATCTAACTGTGAAGCTTTAGAGTGATGGTAATTGTATAATAATTGTCAAGCATCTCTTGCCGTACACCATCTAAAGGCAGAAATTCCTACACAGCTGTTTAATGACTCCACCTGCTAGGAAGTAGCAGCTTTGAAGATTGTTAATAACCTGGCTTTATAAGATGCTGCCTGTTCTCTAGCCTTTTAGTCTCTGCTGCTCCAGAAGCACTCAGTTAAGACCTCTTCATTTTTTCACTGTTGTGCCTCTGACATAAGAGCATAAGAAGGAAATTTAAAAAGTGAAGTTAAGAAATTAGAATAAAAATGTTATGGGGAGAGAGAGAACATGTAATCTAATGATTTGAGAAGGCTTTTCTCCTAGGTTTTGGTTTTTGTTCTTATTTTCCTATTTAGCAAATCCTCCCCTTGTTCAACCTTGAGCCATACTGAGCTTTTCAGTTCTGCCAAGCAGCATAATCCTTGAGCACCAAGGGTTTCCTGTGTTTGGGTTGAGCATCATCAGTATGCCAAAAGCAAGGGTCTAGCCAGTTGACTGGAATGTCCTAGTACACTTTTGAATAAATTTCAATGACCTGTAGGGGATAATGTTTCATCTTGATCATGTGTTTCTTCACTCTTTTTTCCTCAGCCCTGCTTAGTATTTTCTTGAGTATTCCTTCCCATTCTCTACTCCTTTATGGTTTGGTGCTTTTTCCTGAAAAAAGCCCATGTATAGCAAGAATCAGGAGCTATACTTTTTATATAGTATTGGAGGGAGCTTAGCTGTTTTTTCTGTTGGAGAGTCTGAATGTAAAATCCAGTTTTGTATATTCTGAAAGGAGGAGAGGGGATTAATGGATTGTGTGATATAATTCTTAGAAAGTAAAAAATTTGAAGTTGAAGCCACTGTGTATTTTCCACCCCCATAAGAAATTGCTTGTAATCACTTGCAAATGATGCGATATCTGCAATGTTAAAACTTGGTTTTATGTCATTATGTGTTCAGGTTATTGAGGAAAGTAGCATACCGCACATATACAGGAACTACTTTTCAGAAAACAACCTAATCAGTATCAAATATATTGGAATTTAGGAAAGGTTGTATTTTGCATTGACGACTACATATGTGCTAAGTTTGACTACAAGAAAATACCTTTGAGTTATTAAGAGTGCAAGTTCTGCATTTTCAAAGAACACAGGAAATACTACTCAAAGATCCTGTCTCTTCTGACACTGGCTAGTACCAGTTGTTCTAGCAGAAAATTCAAGGAAACTCTATAGATGGGATGGGGCTCTGAAGTACAATGTTTAATAATCCTTCCAAAACTTTCTGTTTTTAATGTTGAAGGAAGAGTTGTAAATTAGAAATAGTGTTTATTTCTGACTTCCATCTTGAATTTTGCCATCAAATGAGTGAATATTATCAGAGGTCTTGCAGAGATGGTCTTCAGTGAGAGTTGCAGTACTTGTCACTTCTTTGGATGAAGTCCCTATTTATGTATTTAGTGTTCTGTTTTAGCAGTGTTTCTTCATTACAAAAGCTGTTTTCATTCACTGAATGTAAAGCAATTTTTGATGTTTCCCCTAGGTTGGACTAAGGAGTTTTAAGACTCCCAAGCCTTGCTCTGTTTGATTCCAGGCTCTTAAATAGGGGCAGAAAGCTTCAAGCACTCTGCTGTATTGTTGACTTTAAAGATGATGCAATTAAATTTGAAATAATCTAGACTATATTATCAATACACAAAAAAGGTCATTTTACTAGAGTTTTGACAACTCTAGTAAAAGATAGGTGGAGATGATGAAAGCATCAATAAACCACATTTGTATAGAGCCCTACTGGTTCATTTGCCATATTTTGCTGTACCTTCTTAAAAGATAGAACAGCTTTTTCCTATGGATGCTTTATTTTTATCAGAAGAATGCTGCAGGTAGCTGTTTTAAGGTAAACCCTCAACCTAGTTTAACTATCCTATATATCAGCTTAGTGAAATATATTTCTTTGATTAGGGAAGAGGAGAGAGTTATAATAAATTGAAAACTGAAATTATTTTCTGCAGTCTTCTCCATACTACTTCCCACCTCTTTTGAGGTTTTGTATCACTTTGTATTTTATTGGGATGATTGATTAGATAACTTGAATGATGACAAAGAGAACTGTTGGTACTGCATTATAAAGTTAAGATGATAGACAGTATTTACCTCCTGATTCCTGGTAGGTGGAGTCATAACAGCTGAATGTAAGAAATTCCAATCTTAGGATGGGGAGAGAGAATAACACATTTATCAGTAAGTAAGTCATCTCTATTATTGCACCTTTTATTGAGCAAAAGTTCATCTGAATGTCAAGTCAATAATAAGGGAGCTCTTAGTTTTGTGAAATTTCAGGAAAATACATTCAACTAGAAGTGGGTTCCCAAATGTGTGTGTAAATTCTGGGAGTTTTGTGTTGTTGTTGTTTTTTTTTAACAATTATCATAAACTGTTTGTGTTGCCTGCAGTATATTGGACCCAAAATTTATGGGTCTCAATATCCATTCAGTTGAATGTCTATGAATCATGTATTTAGACTAAATTTTCAACTCAATGTTTAGCAAAAAATGTTTTAATGCAGTGTTTTGAACTAGTGCCCCTGTATTCCTTCTTTTCTGCTTTTTTTTATAGTTCATAATCTATGTTCTTTTCCCTTTGGAATTTTAGACTAGTGTTACTGCTGCTGCTTCACCATCTTACACTTTTTACCTCAGCCAACCAAATGAAAGTCCAAATTCCTTAGCATCTGAAGCTTCAGGTATAGTTAACTATAGTTTATTACTAGTAAAGGATGACATTCTTTTTTCTTTTGGATTCTCGATATATAGAATTCAGTGATTTAACAATTTCTTCTGTTAATTATTTGCTCTAGGATTGTTTCTAGTATTGGTAGGCTGTTGAATCTTTTATAGACACATAATTCTGATTATCTTTTTTC